ACGTGAAGTAACCCAGGGTGTTACAAATCAAACTCTTACACATATTTTTCCCTTCTATTTCATACCTTTTTTTTTTATTTAGATAGATGTATGAAAGCTTCGTTTAGATTTTTTTTAAATGAAATAGAGATTATTTTGGTATAGGCTTTCTTTCCTACCATGTCTTCCTCCACCATTACAATTAAAATTTTATTGTAATTTAAATTCATTTGGTGTTCCTTCTATTAGGAATAATTTTCTTTTCTATTTTCCTTTGTAGGTGATTAAAAAGTAACATTACAATAGAAGGAGTGATTAGAAAAACCTATTCTTTTACCTTCTTTTTCTTTGACAAACTCTAATGGCTTCTTGACAATAGTGTTATTGATAGAATCCATTGAACTGTTGTACTTTCACTCTTATTTTAATCATGGAATTGCCCAATCAATGATTGTTTAATATAAGGCCTCGCGTTGTTCGATATAAAAAGGATAGAACAATCACATCATCCAAATGGTTTCTTTCCCCCAAATCCTTTTTATCTCGTTGTCGAATCGAACGTCCTCCTTTTTGTTTGTACCTCATTTATTTCTGGTGCTGACCAAAATGAGAGAGAAGTTAATGTTTCTTTAAAGGGGAGGAGAAAAGTGGAAATTGGAGGTCTTAATTGCCATTCCCCTCGACAAGCCAACAGGTAAGCCGGAAGGATGAGTCGAAAATAATAGAAGATAAGAACAAGAAACTTTATTGAAGTAATAAAATTTTCCTCAATAGAATAGAAAGATTTCCTCATATAGTTGGGAAAATCTTATCTTTTATCATGCCCCCGCAAGATGCAAAGAATGATTTCCACCGACTGTCGGTAAATCAGCGAAGACTACCGCGGTGAGGAAGATGAGGATTGACCGTGGAACCTCTTAGGAATGTGGTTGCAACGACGTTGGTCGTTGGCCGAAGACAAGGACGAAGCTTCATTTTTCTCAACGACATTGGTCGCTGGCCAAAGGCAAGAGTGAAACTTTGTTTTTCTCACTGCTCTGAAGAAAATAATAAAAGATAAGAATAATTATTGAAGAAACTTTATTAAAGAAATTAAAATATTTAAATACATTAACATGTTCCCTCTCCTATTTATATAAATTAGAAAAAAAAAATTCCTCAACAGAGATATTTCCTCGTATAGAAAAAGAAGTTGGATCAATCTCTTGCTCGGAGAATTAGCGAGTGAAAGATCAGTTTCAAGATAAAAAACAGGAGCAGTAAGAGATGCTCCGGTCCATGTCAAGTCGTCGAAGTTAAGCTCCCGCCCCAAGATCAGAGAAATCAAGCTCACTTAGCCACACTGCCCGATTCCCACACTTTCCTACGGAGATCCACACACCATCTTCAACATGGGGAGAGCTCCCAAGTCGAAGAAGTCAAAGACCACACTCACCCCTACCATATATTTACCAGAAATGGATATCTGCCATTCCCAGGATGCCGGTCCCCTCGTCATCCTTGGATCCAGGATCCAGGACCAGGAAGAGAAGACACCCCCCTCCTCCATGGCTTAGAAAAAGAGCTGGCTTGTTCCCTTCGTTTCACTCACTTCGAGAGCCTCCGACGATGTAGGCGCGACACGCATTCCAACCCATATTTGTCTCCTCGCGAAATGAACCATTGCTCAACTCGTAGAAATGTGAAGGGTGGGAGGGGTACAGCATGCATGGAACCAGTAAAAGTGATCGCCTAGCTTTTTCTCTTGCTCAACTATCCAGCACGGGGTTTGATTTCCCACCGGAGGAACTCAGAGCTTATCGTTAGATTGTTTTAGGTTCCCTAAGAGGGAGATAAATCATACATCTTTAGACGACAAACCTAATGGCAAGGCAGCATGTTCTTCCATGTCTTTTAGGAGATGGACAGGTGAGGTTTGTGAGCGAATGCATGCATTCATTCGAGTTTAGTAGCGTGCATGTCATGATCCAAACTTGATGAGTTAATCGTAAGGTTTGTGAGTGAATGCATTTGAGTTCCTAGTAATAAACATGAGTTAATTTATTTATTAATTTCGTTGAATCTAAATTATTAATTAAAATATCTAAGTTAAAATTAATAATAATATATGATTAGATATGTGACTAATTGAAGTATTATAATTTTTTTCACTTAAGGAAATCCATCCATGAATAATCCTTTTTTAGACTCTATGTCACTTGTCGTGATTCCGATCTTATGAACTTAAATCATTGATCAAAATATTTTTTGATTTTTTTTTCTCTTAGTTTCTTTTTGCCTTGGGCTAATGGGTTCCAACATATACCAATGAATAAACATTCATGGAGAGGAGGGCACCGTCGACGAGGTAGATCCAACTTCGGAGCTCGGGTTTTCCCTAATCGGCAACTTGGAAGATGATGAGAGGACTGAGGGCCGTTCTAATCGATGCAAACTATGCTAACTGAGAGGATCATGGCCATAATATTTTATCTCCACCATAGATCTTGGACATTGCTATCATACTTAATAATAATAATAGTAAGAATAATAATAATATTATTATTATTATTATCAATATAGCCCTTCAAAGTTAGTGTTCTTATATTCACACCAACGACGTTAGAATTTAGACTCGATATTTCATTTGCCGATTAGAATAAGGAGTGCTTTAGATATTCTATAATATATATTTTTCTTAATTTAAATTATTCACTTAATATTATTTTAGATATATGATGATTAAATGAATATATGCAAAGGATATATGCTACGTTAAATTTTCTGAGGACTTTGGATACCTTATGATATTGGGATCGGATTTGATCATCTTATAATGTAGTGAAAAAAAAGGCAAAAAAAAAGAAAAAGAAAAGATATTTGAGCCAATTACAGTCTCTATTCCCAAAAGCAGGCGACCCTACACCGCCAGGGGAAATGCATATATAAAGTTGAAAGGACTGGCCGCCTAGACTGACTGATTCCTTCTCCGTGGGGTAGCCACAAGGAAGCAAGGAATCATGCGTGAGACTATTTTTGGCTCCTAGAGCAGAGGAGCTTTGCTAAAAGTTGAGAGGGTGATGGGTTGCAGGGGAACACTTTGCATGCAGGCGAAGCAGAGGAGAATGACGGATTGCAGAGGCACGTCACATCATCCCTTCTCTTTCCCTTTCTTATGTAAAGTAACCACTGATATTTCACTCGCAGTCATTATATCTCCATGCATTCTGCGCCGCCACCTTTGGTGCAAGTACGGGACGTATATTTAAGGAAGCCGGTGGAAGATACGTAGGTACGTATTGCAGGTACACCATGCAGATATGTAGCATACATCATTTCATATTTATCCTAGCAAAATATTATGAATATTGCAGGACTTTAGAACCTAAAATCTTTCCATACAAACCATTGGAGATTGTCAGTAAGCATGCGCGTGTCATTTGCATGTTTCCTTCGATTTGCTGTATATATATATATTATATGAAGCCATGGTCCATTCTTTCCTTTCTTCTCTTTTTGTCTTCCTGGGTGCAGGTTTTCTGCGATGGAATATATGTGTTTTGAGTCATTATTTTTGGCTTTGATGCTCTCGATAAAAAGTATATACTATATAGGAAGAAGAAGCACAAAGCTCATGGGCTAAAAGTGGGTCTCATCAACCTTGGAAACCATGTCTGTGGAGATCGGAGAGCAGGTGGGGTACGAAACTTGACCACCACCATGTGGCTATGCTGCCACCTGATGTGAGAATGTTCAGCTCCACTGCTCGTAAAAAGCCATGGCAGAGACAAAAATGGTGTTGGGTGATTGGTGCAGAGTTAGGAATGTCCAAGTGGGAAGAAGCCGCTAAGGTCCTCCGCCAGGGTTTGGCTGCTTGTAGAGTCAGTCGAGGCGTCTCCTTTTTCCTTCCGTCGAATGATCACAGGTCACATGTGACAGGTGCCCACCTTAACAGGTAAATGCATCGGACTGAAGAGGACTCGATCGAACACTCGCAGGTAGATAAGTGCATGCATTTGGAACAAAAGGAAGTCCTAAGTTGACTGTGCTGTTTGATGTAGTAGATGTAAGAAATAACACGACGTGTCGAGTTTCTCTACCAATCAAACCCTACGAGTGCTGGGATTCAGAGGCTCAGAGCTCGACTGTATCATTGCACTGGAATACTGTAAGAGCTTATTGGTGGTGTTTAGTTTTCAGGCGCTGCAGTTGTGGTGTCTTAACTCAGCGTTTCTTTCTCCAGCGTTGAGCAGTTGCAGTCAGTCATTCCTACATAGTTCAACCCTTCCTCGGGGTTTGATGGAGTTTCTTGGACCTGCAGTCTTCCAATTCTGGCGAGTTGCTTCGATAATTCAAGTGCTGGAGTGGTTCTTGACTTGGAATCCAATGCACAAAGGGAAAATAATCCGATATCTGACGTCAAATGTAGTGAAATCCCTAAATCCTAATCATCAAGTCCGCAATTATCTATTTAATTTTGCGGTGATATTACACATACACCATATAAATCGATCACAATTGGGTGATTTAACGATAAAAATCATAATTTATACTTTTTTTGTCCCTTATTTTATTTTCTAAAGAATAATGAGACAATTTTGTTAAAATTTATAAAAATGAAAATTGAAATTATTCCAATAAATCGCCCGTCATAGTTCACCACTGCTAATTGGGGATTCAATCATCCCCGTCTATGATTCAAGTTCAGATCTTAGCCTTCTGATCATCATCACAGGGTTCCGCATCAACCCGATCACCGACCTATGACCCAAACAAGGGTGGATCTTCGCCCCCCCACGCCCCAATCATTGGCATCATGAACGGTCATCGACGGATCACGCGCCGTCCGATCGCCACTGTACGACCTTGCCTTTTGATTTCTCCTCCTCTTTCGCCATCCCCACGAAAAGGAAGAAGCGGAGGGCAATGGAAGAAAGAGACAAAATCCACCCGGCCATCCCTCTTATGACGTGGACTTATGCGAATGTTTTCTATTATTATTATTATTATTAATGTTTATGGTAATCGGCGCTTCGCTGCCTTTTGCCGTTCGCCTGTTCCTCCTCTTCTTGGGATCGGCGGTTCCGCCCCTTCGCCCTTTGGCTCGCCCCCGTAAGAATCCTAAAATAAAAGAATCAAGATCGTTTGTTTAACCGCTTATCCCCCTATAAATGGATCGCGATCCCTTCCGATTTGGCCACCATTCCGTGAAGTTCTTCTTCTCGTCGACGTTGATGGATCCGTAGAGCTTTTTCGTGTGATGTGGATTTGGGGTGTCTATGGAGGTCCCCGTGGTGCGTGATTGGGGCGCGTAGGGTGGAGGGACGAATGGCGGATTTTCGGCACAAGGAGGCCGACCGGGAGTTCCGGCGGAGCGTGGAGGAGCTGCTGCGGCGCGGCGGGCGCGGGGATGGGTGCGTCGGTGAGGAGGCGGACGAGGCTGGCGCTGGCGAGGGCGCCGACCAGCTCGCCCGCCGCCGCCGGCGGTCGGACCTCGAGGGGGATGACCTCGCCGAGACCTCGGCCGCCGCTCGCCGCCACTCCCGGATCCTGAGCCGGTGGGCGGCTCGGCAGGCGGAGGAGATGATCACCACGATTGAGAGGAGGAACCGGGAGTCCGAGCTGATGGCGCTTGCGCGGCTCCACGCTGTGTCCATGCTCGACGCGTCCTTCCTCCGCGAGTCGCGGCGGGCGCAGTCGTCGGTCGAGCGCCCCGTGGCCGCCCGGGCTTCTTCCGTTCTCCAGAGGTGGCGCGAGCTCGAGGACGAGTCGGCCGCTAGGGATCGTAGGAGAGATTCCTCTTCTAGGATCGACGCCTCCAGTAACCACCGTACTGCGCCGGAAACCCAGGTTTCTGTGGTGCCGAGGGATACCTCGGAGGTAACCAGTGAGAGCAATGACAATGAGGATTCTGAATGGCCCGATGAGCCGTCGGGCCTGAGAAGGCAGGGTGTGGAAGTCGAGGATGCTGAGGAGCGGGGATCAAGTAGAGAACAGTCTCCTGATATTGGAGATGGTGGGGATCGTGAGATGGAGAGGGAGAGGGTGACGCAAATTGTGAGCGGGTGGATGACAGAGATAGCAATGGCAGACACTGCACAAGTATTGCGGGGGAGTGGTAGCTCAAGGAGTGAATGGCTTGGTGAGAGAGAGCGCGAGAGGGTGAGGCTGGTCAGGGAGTGGATGCAAACTGTGAGTCAGCAGAGAGATGTTCGGGCTAGCCGGAGGGAGGAGCAGGCGAGGGATGGTGTCATCACAAATCGTGAAGATCGTCGACCAGAATGCACTCAGAGGAACTTGCTGAGGCTCCGGGGAAGGCAGGCTCGCCTTGATCTGATCATGAGAAATGTCAGGGAGCGGGAAAGGGAGCTTCAGGACTTGTCACAGCACCGGCCTGTTTCGCATTTTGGGCACCGCATACGCATACAGGTCAGAGGATTTACAATTTGATCATAAGCTATAAAATTGATATTTAAACTACGTGACTTAACATTATGTCCATTTGCTTTCATTGAATAAACATACTGTTTTTTCCAAGCATTCCTTCTATATGTCGCCCTTGTTATTCTCGGCTATGTGTACTGCCTGAGTAATGGATTTATTTATATCAATGGGCCATATTAATTTTGTATGTGTGCTTCCTGTTATATTAATCTGATTCCCTTCAGAATCAACTGTTGTCAATCTTTTGCTGGTCACAGTGGTGTATATGAACGAGAAGTAACCTTCATACTCTAATAGATTCTACTGTAGGTATGATCTTCTGACTAACCACGTTGATACCTGATTTTAATCTCTATTTCTGTTCCATCTCTTTGTTCTAATTGTGCTAAGATTATTTTAAGTGAAGATTTTTTATGTAAGAGTTCTTTATTTTCATAATCGAGGGTTCTATGTATTCACAGGGATTTACTTTGAGGTTTAATAATTTGGTAAAGAAAAGTAAAATTATAGTCTAAGATTAGGTAAATTTTGTTTAAGGGTAAGATCGTCCTAGTGCCTCAGGTGTTTGGACAGTTTGATCCCTACAAGGACCTGATTTTAGCCACAAAAAAAAAGGAACTGTTTTGTTCAGTTTACTTTGTTGTGATGAAACATGGTCTTTTTGTGGATAGAAAAGAAGGAAAAGCTTTCTTGAGGTAATATTGCTAGATGTGCGCTGGGCCTCAAGAACTATCTGAAAAACTTTTGCCATTTTGGTGCATCTTACAAACTTTCTGAGCCACTTATACCTTTTTCTTGTCCATGTTCTTAAATCTTGTTACTAGGACAAACTAACAGGCTTTGAAATCTATCACAAAAACCTATTGCTGATTGTAGATTCTACCCAACTGCCAAGACTTGTACACATAATTTTGTTGATCTATGTCATAGAAAATAGTTGATTATTCATAGGGCAAAAATAGTTGAGAATTGCCATGACACTCTTTGTTTTTTTTTTTTTTGTAATATTCATGACATAGTTAATTTTAGAATGGAATTTGTGGAATGTAATACTTCTGTTGTTACTCAAGACTAAGAGGGAAAGTTTGGAACTAGCTGCAATTAGTACTTGAGAGTTCGTATTGTATTTAACATTTCTACTTCCATGAATTTGGAGTTAGTGGTAGCACCTTCTAGGAAATGAAAGGAGGCAAAGCTTTTCAAAACTGGCTTCATTTTGCCAGATCTCACTAGGTAGATCCAAGATTCTTGGTGAAATTTAATGAAAGTGAAGTAGTAATTAACAATAAGGGACGATTCAAGGACTGTTAGCGCTTGTCAATGAGCAAGAGAAGTGACAACATCAAAGCATGCTTCAACAACAAAATAGCTTAAAATGGCTTATGAAGAACTATATGTGACTTGTAAGCATAGACTTGAGATCTGGTTTGTGTCGGTTCAGTCCCTCGAGGCATGTAGCACGCCAAAAATGGTCGTAGGTTTGGACTCCATAATATGCTAGCACTTGCTGTCTTGGTACAGATTTCATGTGGATCCATGTCATTTGGCATGTATTCTTGGCACAGAACCTAAGACATGAAATATATACTTTATTTTGAATATCAGCTTTTAATTAACAATGCAAGATTGGCCAGAATAATTTCCGTATGGCTATATGATAACAAAATCCAGGTAATTTATTTCAAAAAAATCTTACCTGTGCAAAAACTAGAGCATTTATAGACATTGGGATTTGCCACCCAGTCCATGTATAGCGTCGAGAGTTGCTTTTGTGAAAATGAAGAAGTGCAGTAAGAATTGCTCATGCCTAAAATGTTCTTGGTCTTATGTTATGTTCTGAAGAAATTTAATTCTGATCCTTGGTTTTGCTGCATGTCAGCAAACCAGAATTTTCAGGTTTCGGCAAATGTCAGCCTCGATCTCAGACTTGTTCTATGGTTGTTAGAAGCATTATGCTGAGATCTTTTGTATGGTAGTGTTTGATTACTCAACTTTTTATGCTGTCGACAAGAGAACTGATATTGTCTTTTTAAAAAAACTTAAAATTGAAACAAGATATCCTCTAGACATTAGATATATTCTTCTACAGAACTGCTGAAAGGTGCACTTTTCTCTTCTAGTAAAAACTTGGAATTTAAATGAGATATTTTAATGTTCTTTTAAACAACTTGTGTTTATGTTTAACAAGAATTGCTTGGACAGACATATGAGAAGAAAGGTTGAGGTTTTAATTAATTTGATATGAAGGTTTGCTTTAGCCCTTCAGGTAGTTAAGGCCGTCTGCTTTGTGTATACATTGATTAGTAATTTCTCGAAGGCTTAGATAACTTTGCTGATGTTATGCAAAACGTCTATTTTATGGGATTTGCATGTGAATACTATAGTTTGTTGGTATGTCTTTAAGTTATAAGGACCACCACTTTATGAAATTATAAATGAAGTCAGATTCAGCTTTGAAAATCAGCATATGCCCATTCTTATGAGAATGAAAAAAAAGAGTTTTTGAGAATACACCAGAACATTGTACTGATATATGCATTCTAGTGGAAATACCTTTGATATTGGTAAACTCGTTTCATATGCTTGAAATCCTTGGAGGTTGAAATTTTACCTTTTTATTAGATTGATTCCTAGTAGTTATATTTTGCTTTCTCACTTTGTTGGGCACTAAATGATAACCATGTTCCAGTCTGTACTCCGAGGTAGATTCTTGAGAAATGGCAGGTCTGTTGAGGATGGACAACAGCATTCCGTTGCAGCTAGAGAATTAGGTCAGCTAAGGCAGCGTCAAACTGTATCTGGCTTCAGGTATGGTTTCATCTATATCTCCAAATGATCAATAGGGTTAATTGAAGTTGATATATCAAATTTCTGTTTCTAGGGAAGGATTTCGCTCTCAAGAGAGCAGTATTGTCACTGATCAAGCAAGCAGCCAATCTGCTGATGGTGATAGCGTCAATATATCTGGAAATGATATCTCTGTCACAAATGCATTGGAGGTTTCCGATGTGACCTATGATCAATTTCAAGCAAGCGATGATGATATTGATATACATCAGACAGCAGAAGTTGATACTACAGTTCAGATGGAAAGCAACATGCAGAGCAGTGATATGGGCGGGAGAGAATATGCAATTCAGGATGATAATTGGCCGGAGGATGATGCAGAACATGGGCAAGGGGATTGGCAACAGCCTATTGAAGTCGGATTGAGTGTACAACATGATGGCCCTGTAGAAGAACCTGACAGGAACTGGCATGAAAATGTAGACCAGGAGTGGCTTCATGAAACCCCTGAAGATGAAGATAGACAAGGTACCCTTCTTCTGGAAGCACATCAACATTGGCATAGCGATAATTCTCAAGCGACTGAAGCAAACTGGCAAGATGGACCATCAGACTCTTTAAATGATCAGCATTCTTTTCGTGTTATAAGAAACGGAGTCATTTCATCAGATGATGACAATGTGTATAGCATGGAACTTCAGGAACTCTTGAGCAGGTATTAGCTGATAGTGTAGTTGGCTAAATTGTAAGAGGTGAAATTATGTTGGGTCATCATCTTGCTGAGTTGTTTCATACTTGCACTGCAGGCGAAGTGTATCTAATCTTCTTCACAGTGGGTTTCGTGAAAGTCTCGACCAACTAGTACAGTCCTATATTCAAAGGCAGGGGCGTGATGCATTTCAGTGGGACATGCAAAGTGCTATGCCTGACCATGTTTCACCAGAGGAAGACCAGAGGCAGCAAAGAGATGATTTGATTCAGAGCCAACAAGATTCTGTTACCAGGCCTCTACATACTCCACCAACGCCACCGACACCACCTCCGCTGCCACTATGGCATTCAGAATTGCATAACAGTTGGAGTCGGCAGCACATCCGTCGCACCGATATTGTGAGCTTATCTTCTTTTATCGTCTGATTTGTTAAGTTGTGTCGGAAAGTTTGTGTTAATGAAGATTTTAGTTAACCTCAAGCTTTTTGTAACCTATATATGTTTTTCCTTTCTTCGTGAATACAGGATGTGTGATTGGCTACACTATTTTGATTGTATTTATTGGATGTGTTTCATAAACTTGAGATTATCTAGTTTGATACTGATATGGTTTTGTTGATGCAGGAATGGGATATTGTTAATGATTTAAGGGCTGACATGGCTAAGCTTCAGCAAGTGATGTGTCATATGCAACGGATGTTGGAGGCATGCTTAGATATGCAGCTAGAGTTGCAGCGTGCGGTTAGACAAGAGGTTTCAGCAGCTTTAAATCGTTCAGTTGGAGAACATGGTCAGTAGCTTCATTTTAGTGACAGAGACGTCCTACATCTTTTTTCTATATTGCACATAGAAGATTGATTCAGTTCTTTTATCTTCTCTGGTACTATCATCATAAGCAGTACATGTTCAAGTCTATATCATGGTTGCAGGATGATATTGTCGTGCATGGGTTTTGAATAAAACCCATGAATTTTGAAATATATGCATAAATATTAAAATTCACGAAATACTAGTCATAATTTTAAGCATTATTATGACACACAGTTTTGGTTCTAGGAAGCAAACCTGAATGCTGGGAAGCCATGTTGGTTTAATTGAAAGGGTTTGTCAACACTGTAGTTTTAACCTTTTCTTATAAGCACTAGTTGAATTCAAAGTGATCAATTTGAAGAACATAGGTTTTCTTGGTAAGTATGTGATTAAGTTTATTGATAAACTATTTAAACTTTCATGTTCTTTAGTCCCTTTATTTCTCTTTCTTATTTGTACTCCTTGGGTTTTAGCTGCAGTCTCCATAGAATAAGATCCAGTGTTTCACTATTTGGCATTACTTAAGTTAGCTGCAGTATGATGTTTGTGTTTCTGTCAGATACTTATCAGACTAATTTATTCAAATAATGAAAATGGAACAATTTAAAAGGGTTGGCCCTTTTATAAATCTTAAGGCTTATTGCGAACTAAACTTCCAAATATCAACATAAATATCTTATTTGTTTATAATTATTATTCTCCTACATGTTCCTGTATTTAAATTGTCTGCTTGTGAAATTTTCTCTCCTTGAGAAGGTGCCATTTATTTCATGTTCTCTATTTAAATTTTGTCTTCTTGTCTAATTCTTATGGTGTGTTGTGCAATTCTGCCATCAGTTACATATGGTCACAAAAGCAAGCAGAGTCATAAAGCTCTATCCTACTTTTAGTGAGTTTCCTTTACCGAATCACTATGGCCTTTGCTTACGCAGCTGTGTGGTGAGCACAAGGAGAATTATTGTTTCACCTTTTTTACACTATGGCTTGGTTCAAAATAAAATTCTTCTGTTTAATTTCTGCTTTGCAAATAACACATCCTTGCTGTTCTAAGAGTGCATCTTTTCTTTTGTGCTTCATGTATGTGGGAATACGACCATAAACCCGTCAAAAACATGATTTTTTTGGTTGGAATTGGACTATATTGTTGCTGAAGATGTTTTGCTGGCCTTCTCATTGCTTTGGAAACACATTTTTCTGTATAAAAATTGTTTTTAGATTTGCTTAATCCTACTTCTAATGCGGCAGGGGAAGTCGGAGAATCATCAGAAGATGGAATAAAATGGAGTAACGTGAGAAAAGGGATTTGTTGTGTCTGTTGCGATAATCAAATCGACTCTCTTCTTTACAGGTAATAGTTTCCTCATACTTCACCTACAACAGTGCATTATTAAATGGAGAATTCTTCGATTGTTTTTGTTCTATACAGATGTGGGCACATGTGCACCTGCTCAGGATGCGCGAACGAGTTGGCTCAAGGCGGAGGCAAGTGCCCTTTGTGCCATGCACCCATCGTTGAGGTGGTTCGTGCCTATTCCATAGTGTAGAAGTAATAAACTGGGTTGGAGACAAAAGGGGGACCGTCGGTTTCGATGAGGGGAAGGGAAGCTCTCCAGATTCATCAAAAGATGTATCCGTGGTCGTTCATGGTGTCTTTGGCTTTAGGCATTCTTATGATTATTATGAGAGTCAGGAATTTTGAGTGGACCTGTAAATGGCACCTTCTCATCATCACTGATTCACAATAAATATTATAAAAAAAGAAAAAAATGAAGCAAAGGGTTCCTAGAACTTTTTGTTCGTATCATCCTGGATATCCGCTCTCTTAACAATTTTTCCCTCAAACTCGAGACTTATCAGGAAACCAAATAGTAGTATGGGAAGCACGAGGATGGTCGTTCTTGGCCGAGGGAGAGACCTGCTCCGGCTTCACGTCTATGCGATGATCATCCTAATACTGATGATGATGGAATCGCCTCAACTTTCACGATGAGGTTCATTTGTGATGATGATGAACCATCGAGGGCTGCGTCACGTCTATGCGACAAGAGGCGTAAAGCTTGATCATCCAGAACTACAGAACGGGTCTTGTAGCAAGCAGTTGATATAGGATACTTAAAGCAGTTGATGTAGCAAGCAGAATACTTAAAGCATCAAGATTTTGTTTACTACTAAAATCATGAATTCCTTTTCCTCCCATTCCATTTCTGACCCAGTAAGATTTTTCTCTGTTGAATTCCCAATAACATTAGAAGGTGGATCAATATATTTCTTTGAATCAATATATTTCTTCCTATATCAATAACAAATCCCAATGACAAGTTATCTTGTGTGTACAAGATAACTTGGCCCATGCAAAGTATTTAAGTATTTTTTTCGCTTTATTTGGCTGCACTAAATAGAATATGTTTTGCTGACTCCATATTGCCCCAAAATCTATACCTTTTCCTTGTTTTCTTGTTGAAACCCATAGAAAAATGCAATCCAGTTACAAGTGTCAAAGTTGACTACAGGATGATTGTATTTAGTATTCATGTCAATAAGTTTGGCTTGCATTGGCATACCTGACACTCAAAAAAGACTTCCTCCTTGACCAACTTATTCAGAAACAAAGATCTTAAGGAAATCATGAACTCGGTTAAAAGATAAATACATGCTCACATAGACACGATCGTGTAATATGCTATGGTATGGTGCTGACACATGATATGCTATTTTTATAAATGACCAAAATACAATTTCGACAGGATGGTGTTTCTGCACAAGCAGTTTAGCCGGGAATTAGATGTGCCTTCTCTTTGTTTAATGAGGTTATGACACGGTTATGGTTCAAAGAAATATAGGGCGGGCTGGCAAACAATAGGAGCAGCAGAATCTCACTTACATATACAAGATGAAAGAAAAGAAAAATAAATAAATATAACTTTACATGCCGAGGAAAATGGTAGACCTACGGTTATGTGCCTGCTTCAATCCTTTCCAGGACTTCCAGCCTTGTCTTCCTCTTCCAACCTTTCATAGTGGCAACAAGGTTTACCAGTCCATTTATTTGACTTTTACTGTATTCCTGCAGATTCAACACAAATCTAAGCTAAAACAATGCTGGAGATTAAACAAGGAGAACTGCACTTTGCTGAGATTCTACTCATAATAAAAATCAATTCGTACCGGATGAGCACGTGCCCAATGCACATATTCAGTCTCTGGAAGATAGTAGGCCTGTTATCATGGAAACAAACAACAGTTGTAAATATAGTGCCAAGTTTCAGTCAAATAGTTCAGGATGATGAGGTACCACAAAAACAAGTAATTTGACTGGACTATCTCATGCAAATGGACCAATTTGTATCACAACGTAACAAGAGTTGAATATTAGTATGACAAAATGTGCTAAGCTTTAGTTCACTGATGATAACTAAAAAGTTTGTTCATAGTCAATGTGAAAATTTAAGGCTTTAAAACCGTTGTTTATGTAAATATAAATAATATCAGTAAACTCACTAGACATAGTCCATATATTTCTTTCTAATACTAGTTATTACATTCTTACACATTTTAAAAAAATTATATATATATATATATATATATATATATATATATAGTTCCATCATAATAAATTTTAGGAACTCTATCACAAGATATTTTAACCTAAAAAGCTATTTTTTCATCAATTGCCTTAATAAACACCTTTTATGTTTGGTCTTCGAAGCATAAAAATTATTAATTCTCAGAAATAGTTGTTTCCATCTTATCCTACCTTCGCTCATCATTTATCAAAACAACATCCCCGCAAGTTCACATATAATCCTTAGGTTTTCTACATGCTTGTATTTTGCTAAAGACATCTTCACTTCCACAATCAAGAACTAAGGGATTTGAAAATAATCAACAGAAAAAATATATATATTGGGAGATCACCGAGCATCCACTATCCCTTATATTTGCATTAACCACCTCCTACAGACCTCCTCATGAGGGGCCTTTTTGGTTGATTTATCTTCCTTGTGTCACCAGCAGTTTTAAGAAGGAAACACTCAGATGGAAATCCATCAGTAGTGGCAGCTTGTTATCTTAACATTCCACCACAGTTCAACAAGTTGGGATGTAATAACGAATGGTCAATGCAAACACTGATATTTTTCTTCGAAAAGATTATGTTTTCTACAGCTATTCGTACTTAACATTTCCAACAGACATTATTGAATTTGTTTCAGAGTATTTGATATCTTGACACAAATTTTAAAAATCCATATGGTGCATGAAACTGAGTGTGCAGACAACACAGTGGAATTAAGAAATCTTCAAACTGATATAACACTGCATATGACACAAGAAAAAACTTTACCTTGATAAACACTTCCACTATCTGCAACTTTGGCTTCACATTTATGGTGACAAAATGTTGTAGTCCATTAATCAACACCTGAAATTAGTAAAGGATATAAGTACCTGTAAGTCTTTTCCAGAACTAACATCATCATAGATTATTAAAACCTGAAGGTCGAGTGACATTAAAACCCGTCCTTCATCCGTGCATCTCTTTACGCGTGATAGACCTTCAATAAGTATTTCTGCAACATTTTCAAGTCCATATTCCAGAAGGAGATCTTGAACCTGATATATTGTGAATGAGATTAATACCAATGACAAAGACTACAATACGGACATTGTTTTTGTACCTGCTTGGACTAATAATATAAGTTTCCTGGAGAAGCAATCTTATTGGATCTCCATATAAAAGGAAAATGTGTTATAAATAACAGAATGATTGATTGTAGTATTTTGCTCAAGAAAAACTACTACAAAGGAGTCCTGGCATTCTATAATATTGTATATGATTTATGAGTTCATGTATCTCATAACACAAAGACTCCATTATCAGCATACTTCACAGCTTTCCCTTTTCTCCTGTTGGTTTACAAGTTTGATCAAGTGTCACTAACATACTGATGCTAGAATGGATTTACAAGCCAACAGGTTCTTTTGCAAGGTGATATAAATTGGTTGACTACAGCATTAGTGTACGGACTTGAGCACAAGGGTGAAAAGAATAGAAGTACAGGTACAGTTAACAAAAAAGTCATACAGGGAATTAATTGTATTTGGGAGATAAAAATTCATCCAGTTTCTTTTGCAAGGCAATATAAATTTGGTTGACTAAGACATTGGTGTATGGACTTGAAGCACAAGAGTGAAAAGAACAGAAGTATAGCTACAGTTAACTAAAGAGTCACATAGGGAATTAATCAAATTTCGGAGATAAAAATGTAACCAGACTGTCAAAGTTAAGAAAATTATTAAATGTGATTACCTCCTTTGAAATACCACCATGCATCAATCTTGTTTTATAATGTTTGAATTCTCCCAATAACAAGTCGACATACCTATCATTATAAAACAAACATGAAATATTAAATAAGAAAGCCAAATCAAGTGAACAAAAGAATAGGAAATATGTGTAATAATTGACAAAATTTTCAAATTATCAGCCATGCTGTTAAACAATCTAGGTTATGTCCATCTGTCAACCAACTACCTTATATCTTTTAAGACAACCTCATGACTAATTTTGCCTTTAATAGGAAAATGAAACCAACTTGGGGGAGATTTGTTATCATGTTGAGAATCCATAGAAGTATCCTATGGAAATTCTGTGAACCTTTCGTAATTTTAAGGTATTTCCTATATAGTCAACCCTAAAAGTCTTCAATGATCATATGTACAAATTGTATGAAACAAACAAGAAATGCCAATTAGTTTCTGCATAAAACAAAAGCACAATGTTCTATCAAATAACAAGCATGTAGTTAATATTGTAGGTCAAAAATTTTGAAGTACAATTAAGGATTTTTCACATCAAAATAATAACAAAGTAAAATTAAGAACCAAGCATCATGACATCTCTAATAATTTGCTTAAAACTAACAAGAAAACTAAGTCTTAAATCAGACAGTTCAGTATTTGTGATATGTAGATTAAAGAATAGGGTAAAGATAAGTTTGTACCCTAGGGGTGTACCTTATTTTGTTGTATAGTGAACTAAAAGTATATCCCCACAAAAAAATTTAAAATTTATCAATTAGTAATTCTTAACCAATTATCTGAGACCCATCCTTTTAATACCACCCAGAACAAGTTTATAAAGCCAGATGGTAAATATGTATCACACCTTAAAAGCCAGCTTCAGTATATTCCGGTACCTACTAGCCAATACCAACAAAAATTCATTGGTACTAATTGCCAAAGCTGGCCAAAATAGATCAAAATAGTTCAGAGTGGCTGAGAGTGTTGACAAGATGCACACTGCTTCCTCCGGTTGGCAAAAGGGTGTGCCACAGAAAATAAATCATTGGTTACACTTCAGTAACATTACTGAGAACTTACAACCAAGGATATGCTCTTGGTTTAAAGTGATGTTTGTGCATAATGGACCAAAAATAGTACCACTTTGAGGAAATCAGAAAAATGGACTTGCATATATGAACTGAACTAACTAAAATTTGAGCTGGAATCTCATAGTCAATGCCAACAAAGCCCACAGTGTCCGACTCAGGTTATAAAGTTACTTGGACCATTGCAATTGTACCAAAGAAATTCTATAGGCTTCTATGTGGACTAATGCTTCCTGGAATGAATTAGCATTTGACACGCGGTTAGCCTCATCAGAGAGCAACTTCTAAGGATATGGATGGAAGGAGGCCAAATAGATTTACTCCAAAAAAGAAAAGTAAACTACAGAAGAAATTTATAAGATATGTGGCAGCTGAGGAATTGAGTAGGAAAATCATAATTCTTCACTATCTACATTCTGAACATCTTAAAGTATGGGCTTGCATATTGGACCAGGTGTTCTAATAATAACTTGGATACATGTATAAGATCATATTAACAAGGGCAGCTCCAACTGAGTTATTGAGCTAGCAGCTCAGTGCAATGCAAAAAAGATTTCTAATCTTTTCAAATGCCCACATATAAAAATGAGCATGTGAAAGGGCATTTGACTGATCACACAACAGAAACATTATTTTGGCAGGCAGTCCTTAATTAGAACTAACCTCAATATAATTAATTATGTAAGAAATTGCCTTGCATGCAAGGAACATGCTTTAATTGTCTTTAGTCAGGACCCTGGATCTCAATGCACAAGTTTTTATTAGGAACAATATCTTAAAAACTGTGAAGGATGTAAATACACACGTGACTTGCATAGAACATCTACAACAGGAAAGAAGAGGTTTTTTTTGCTATGGATATAAGTAGCTTAAGATGAACAATACTATGCTGAATTTAATAAGCCGGGAATGACATTCAAGGATAGGCTCACTACTTAGCATGTACTATAAGGTAACAACCAAAATAAATTTACAATAACAAGCAACCAAAAATAGAAAATTATCATGGAACCAACCCATTGTGCTCTAAGCCAAGCTCCTTGACCTCCCATTTTGCATTAGCAATCTTATCTGCATACCTGGCCAGCATTAAGATGCTAAAATTGTAACTGTGACTAAATAAAAAATAAGAAAATGCAAGCACTTTTGGACATGAAAGAGCTAATTTTATGAAGCAAGGTATCTTCTTATGAATCTTGGGCATATATTACAACTATAAAGACCAAGTAATAATTCTCAGATTTTTATGGCAATGTCAATCACATGTTGCACCAAAATGTAAATGCTCTTTATTGGCACCCAAATGATGTGACTTTTAGTTCTGTCAATTTATGTTGGACCAAGTGCTCTAGAATATACAGATTGACATCAGACCGGCAGAAGATTGGACTAATGCATTAAATGTTGAACTGAGAAGGCTGGCCAAAAAACAGGGAATTTGCAACTTTATTTATAAACATGAACTCTAAATGATTGCCGACCCCAAATTGTTGGGACTTACAACTTTGTTGTAGTTGTTGTAACTTTAAATGATTGGCCAAGCTTTTCTAAAATTACGTCTCCATCTGAAATTTGACAAACTTTTATGACCAACTGCTAGAAATAACATCACCCTCAAAAGTTGTGACAAATTCCTGGCTTAGATTTTGGCAGGAGAGGTAAACAAAATATTTAAGAATAACCATTATGAGCATAACAGTGCAGAGGAATACAGAAATGCAAGATTCAACAGCATAACCTCTGTGGGTCACCTACAACAGTTCCAACATTTATCATATAGTATGCCCTTTAATATATATCAGGTACCAATACACCCAGGATGATAGCAATAAAGAAAGCTAGAATGTGACAACATTATTCCTGTCTTGCTAGCATAACCAACAAGGTTTTAATCTTCTGCTTGATCGACACTGCATTAAGTTCACAATACAAACGGCTTGCCAAGAAGTTTAAGAAATGAAGCTAAATGCTCTGATACTTCACAATGAGAAGTCATGCGGGTACCACGGCAGATGAATTTGGATTGGAGGATAAGTTTTTAATAAGAACACACACCAGATATCTTACTAGCTTCCTTACGGGTCGTGTGAAGATGATGGAAAAAGAAAGTGTGTATGCGACAAAAGATCATAGTTGTTACAGTAGGGCAATTGCAAAGCTCTCAAGAAATGCTAAAAAGAATATCATATTATCATTGTCGCAATATGGCACTTAGAATTTAGCTCTCAAGAATTAGAACATTAAGCAAAAAGTAGTAAGTGATTGATACTAATGAAGACAATAGAAATAAAAAATATTAACATTGCCAGGGAACAATACTAATTGCCTAGTTATATGGTAATTTGTTTAGCAATGTCAAAAAGGGCAATTCAAGAACCAAATGTCCTAATTTGCCGTCTTCGATTTAACAAAGGAATAAATAACAAGTGCATGAAATCTAGGAGCAACGTAATATTGCTTATTCAAGAGAGCATATTTGAAGGTGGCAGGAAGTACTTCTTTAATAACTATGAGATTAACTATCACAAGCAGACCTCATTTTGTTTTACAAAGTCACTACTCATTTGCCACATGTTAGCAAAGCCAGTACAAAAGTATCCTGCCTGTTCTCATCTTTATAGGCTTCATACATGCCCTATTTGTTCCTCCCACTCACAGCTTCCATGTCAAGACTATCAGATTGAGCAATCTTACATATTCTTACTACTAACATATGTGGAGCTTTAACAATCAACGAACTAATGATTTCTTGATGTACAGTTTAGAAAAAAATAGTGTACATGGAAGAGAATTTTCATGGAAGCATTATATTTCCATCAGAATGATCAAGCCACAGTTATCAGCATATACCCATTAATATGAAGAAGCATACGTGCAGTTGTTCTGTGAATGTGCTCAGTCAGATCAGGAACAGAGTCCACCTGACACAAGAAAGTCAAGTTTAAGTCACCCTAAACCTTGCCATTTCTCGACAAAAGGTGATATAAAAAATGATAAAATAAATACAAAAAACATAGGCAGTAATTAGGCAAAGCTGATCATCATTAACCTCGAGGAAAAAAACAGTGAAGACTAAAAGGAAAGAAATTAAGCGCACTGGTCGTTTGGGAAAAGACTGAGCAAAGATTACCATATTTACAAAAAATTCTTCTACTACAGCAGCATTATGCTGCAATAACATAGACTGGAGATGCGCCTTTGATCTATGCAATACTTGAGCAACTAGTGATATTGTGTCAACAGCAGAACAACGTTCCTGTAACGGGAGAAAATAGCAATAAGCAGAGCAGTAAATTGACCCAGTGAGAGAAAATGCATATTCATAAGATAAATGTTATAAAAACCCAGGAAGATTACTGATGGCAGAATAAATTGGTTCATGGGCCACAAATTTACTCCAAAATAAAAATCGGAGCATGAGTGTCTGATAGACATTTTAGTATAGAAATAAAATGTTTCAATACTTCTTGTTCTTCTTTCTAATTTATTTCAAAAAAGATATATATTTTTTATATGAACTGTTCAGACAGTATTGTACAACTATCTCAACAATTTTCAAATTGAATTGTTCTGGTACACTGACCTGTACCACTGTAGGACCATTGAATAAAAATTTAGAACCAATATCAATGCTACATGCTTTAACAACAGTACTTGGTTGAACCCATAAGTATTGGTTGGTACCTTATTTACCGAACTGACCAGTATTTAAATGCTTTATAGCACATATGCAGTAGATGTCAAATACCTTAAGTCCAATGGAAGTATTAGGCACATGCCCAAAAATTGTGCTGGGAGGTGCTGTAGGTGTTACTTCCATCTGTGTAAATGTTGGGCTCATTGGAATAGGAGATGAGATTGAATATGACATGCTTTGGGTTCTGATCCACTGATCACAATCTTGCAGAATCTTCGATAAGGCTGTTTTGACTCGAGCTGGACATAACAGAAGCAAACAAAACCTTTCATATTATAGTAAATACATTACATACAATATGTCATCCAGCTGAATTATGCTTAAGACTGGGTAAATGAAAGAGATAATAAGTTGCTCACTTTGCGAAAAGTCTGGAATAGATTTACCACTTTGACTAGTTTCTGGTTGACCAAATGTCTCAAATATATGATGATAAAAAATCCCAAACAACTGGCACATTCCCTGCAATAACATACTGAATGAGAAGAAAGAAAAACATTTAACATTCATCGTAAAAAGGTCTAAAAGAAGTAACATAAAGAGAATATAAGTTGCAGCTTACCTTGAAAAAATCAATGCTGACTATTTCCAATTTCTGCATGAGCCTGGCATACTTGTCCATCAACCTGATTGAATGAAGTAGTAAAATTTCTGCATTATGAAATACTAAGATAAACAATCTGCTCTGTGAGAGAGGACTTACCTCAATAGACAAAGCGAGGACCCTGTCTGTGCTGAGATCTCCTCACTACTCCAACCAGAGGATTTGGTTCTCACAAGTGTGGGCTTAGATATTCGACTAGGCAACTGACTATCCTCATCAATAAAGTCAGCAAGAAGGTCTTCATTCTCATCTTCCATGACCGAACTGCTTCCATTTATGTGATCATCTAGATGGCCCTTTGAAGATATTTGATCACTATGCAAAATGACACGACCATCACCAGAACTTGAGGTCATTGACCCATTAGGCGGTAAGTGAGATCTTGGTGATTCCTTACAGCCAAATGCCAGCTTTGAAGAAAATGGGTTTTCCATCTGAAGCCAATAAGCAAACCCATTCTTCTGCTTGCCAGCATCAACAAGGTCATTAGTTCTCTTTGAGTCAAGCATAGACATGGATGTATTACCCAAAGAAGAAGCAATCAAGGGAGCACCATCACCAACGAGACCAGCTAAATTAATTACTTGTAGCATGTCTGATGACATTTTCACCCAAGATTCCTTTTCCAAGACCATCTTAAGTGCCTGGAGAAACTATTGTAAATCAGCACTCTATGCAACTAAAAGAAGCAAACTAGCGTTTTCCTTAAGTCATTCAAAAACAAACCACAATAGGTGACAATAGAACAAATTCAAAGAAAATATGACATATGCAAAAAAAACCTAATCAGCTTAGAATATTCAACAAGAGACAAACATAATTAATGTTGTCACATGAGGTTCACAATACCATTGGTAATGTATGCTATGAGCTAGGGTTTTTAATTTCGAATGATACCGCCCGATAGGGTTTTTAATTTCGAATGATACCGCCCGTATCCGGCGGTACATATTGGTCCGCCAACAGACCGGTACGCGGACCGCCCGCTACCGGGCGGTACCATCGATTGGGGCTGTTTCCGCCCCGTTACCACCCGAAATTGGTCGATGACGGTCGATTTTGACCGTCGCCGCATGCTACCGGGCGGTATTAGTCGAGGGAGAAGGAAGAAGCGGAAGAAGAAGAGGGAGAAGAAAAGGGAGAACCTAGAGATCCGATGTCGCTCTCCTTTAACGATCCCGATCCGTCGCCACCCTCCCTCGACGGATGTTGTAGATGAGATGCCGCCTCCTCCTAGTCTGAGGTGACGAGACCTCGGCATCGTTGGCGACTTCTCCTAATCTGCGAGGGGAGAAGAAGCCTCAGCGTGGGGAGAAGAAACCTCGACGACGTTGTCGAGGCTTCGAGGTTTTCTTCGCCCCACGCAAGGAGAAGAAACGACGCGACGTTGCCTCGACGATGTCGCCCCTTTTTTTAAATTTTGAACTTTTATTTTTTTAACACACACACACACACACACACACACACACACACACACACACACACATATATATATATATATATATATATATAGTAC